GGCAGGCTTCCTTCTTGCCCTTGTGGTAGCCGGCACACAGCATGCGGGGCGTCACCTGGTAGCGGTAGGCCTCACTGCACAGGTCCTGCGTGATCAGCTGCACGTCCACCTTCTGCAGGCCGTTGCTGATGGGGCCTGCCCAGTGTGTGGGGTCAAGGCCAGAGGGCAGAGGTGAGAAGATCCAAGGTGCCCCGGAGTCCCCGCCCTTCCTTTCACTGTTCCCTTGGCATCCCAGGAGCCCCTCTCTTGCCCTGCCCACCCCTGCACCTCCCCTCATGGTCACTCTGTTCGGGCTCCTCCCCGGTGTGGCCCACAGGCACAGAGCCCCTGCCCAGAGCCTGTCTGGACGGGTGTCTTCTCCAGCTGCTCCTCCCCTTCCGCTTCCTGCTTGAGCCCCATGCCACCTCCCCTCTGGCCTGGGACAGCCCCGGGATTCTCCAGAGCACACGTCTGACCCTCCCACGCGCCCTCGAAAACTCTCAGCACCGGCCCCTGTCCAACCCAGCGCTTCTCCGGGGGGCTCGAGGGCTGCGTGCTGGACCCAGGAGGCTCCAGAGTGCACTGGCCTGGTCTCGCTCAGAGACGTGTTCGCCCGGGGAGGGCCGGCCACCAGTGTTTCTCTCCATGCCCTCGGCGGGTCTAACGCACAGGGCAAGGTCCTGCCCGCAGGTCCTCACCCAGCTCCCCTGCCTGCTCCCCGCGGGTGCTCGGCGTGCTGCCTTCCTGGGGGTGCCTTTCCCTCCACGGGCACTGCCAGCTCACGCTCCTCCCTCAGCCTAGGCCTCCCCTGGACGCCTGCTCGGGGCTGCCTGCACCTGCCCGCCCAGGTCAGCTCTTAGCACTGTCTCCCCAGCGAATGCTCTCCATCTTCATACCCTCAGCCCAACTCCATGTGTGGCATGTCGTGGCTGCTCCTCACTGTGTCGTGGGATGCAGACGGATGAATGGATGAGCGAGGGAGCCAGCCCTTGCCTTACCACTGCCCTCCCTCATCCTCTGGAGAGGTCACCGTTCACCGAGCCTGTTTCCTCATTTATGAATGATTCTGACAGTGCTGCCTCCACATTGTAAGTCACTGCACACCTTCTAAAAGCCACCACCATGGAGGGCACAGGGCCTGGCTGGAGCTCTGCCAGCCCAGGCCCGGTTCACAGGACGGAGAGGTGGCCTCTAGGAGAGCCGCCCGGCCAGGTTAGGCAGGAAGGGAACCCACCTGCCTGGGTTCTAGCCCCAGCTCCATCCGTTCTTAGATGTGTATGTGCCTCTCCAACCCTCTGTGCCTGAGAGGCCGTAGCAGGAACAGCATGGGCTCTGGGGCCAGGCAGTCCCGGGATCCAGTCTCTGCTCCAGCCCTCTCTGCCTATGTGTCTTTGGCAACAGCTAAATGTCTCTGAGCCTCGGTCTCCCCATCCATAAAATGGGGCCGTACTACTCACCTAGGGTTATTGGTGGATTAAATTAAATCACGTTCCCCTAAAATCAAACCTTCATTAAAAGCCTCTCCTGCCTGCCCCCAACACACACACACACACACACACACACACCCCTCCACCTTCCCACCCGACTCCAAGGAGCGGAGGGTTG